TGCATATAATTGTTTTTCATGATTTATTAAACAACTTCCTGTTTTTCAATTTAAACATAATTATAAATAATTACTTTGATGCGCTTCTTATGAGTATACTTTTATAGTCACTATGATATAATTTTAAACATAATTATAAATAGGTTAATTAATAAAGCTTCAGATTTATTATTATTTTATATGCAATATTGGTCTCATATGAAAGATCATAAAAAGTTATGAATTTTGATATATGTTTTTTATAAATTAGAGTAATTATGAAAAAGTTATGACATTTTAAAGAAAATGGGTGTTTTATTTGATGGGCCCCACCAATTATATTTCTCTCCAAGCCTACATTTCCTTGGTGCATTGTTCGGTTCTTTCTCTTATTTAATAGAATTAGCCACATGTCATCTTTATAGCAAATGAGCAAAATGTGGAGAGATGGACACATAAGATTAATAAAGGGTGTAATTGTCTTTTATAGAGCTATTTCTTTTCTTATCCATGTTCTATAAATGGGTAGTTACCTTGTTAAGATTTGAAAAACTATTAAAATCTCCCTATAGTTAGATTAATGTTATAAGTTGACTACCATTATCCTATTAAATAATAAATACCAAATCATCCGCATAGACAAATCATTATAATATAATACAATGATTAAAATGTAAATACCATATAATAAAATTTAATAATATATACCATTTTAAGGATATATATTTAACGTATTTACTTTAATATGTGCGGAGTATCATAGTTAATGAAGAAAAAGCTTTATGATTATTATTAATTATATTTGTTTTTATTATTAATTTTTAAATATATGCATGTATGTGTCATAATAGCGGAGCAAAAAATTTAATATTGGGAACGTCAAATGTTAAAAAAACTAAATTAGGGCATCTGAAATTCTTATTTAAATACAGTATATTTTCATAATTCAAAAATATTTTTACTTATATATGCACACAAATTTTTATGGAGAAAACATGTAATTGGCTGACACTTTAAAGCATGTATACATGCTTGCATGTTTAAAATACCAACAATTAATATAGTTAATACTCTATATACGGAACACAATTACAGATTTTAATGATATTTTGAACTTTCGTATAAGAAGCTTTCCGAATTTCATAGCGAAATTTATAAGAATAATCCAACTTTCAGGGATTTATAAGAGTGTTCATAAAAATAATCCAAAGTAGCAATAATGTCCACAAAAATAAATTGGCGTGAATTCAAACTAATGTCCGTTTAATACTCTCAATCCCCTACTCCTATTTTTCTCTTCTCTGCTCTTCTTGTTTGGGTAAATTCAAACTAAAAGTCGTTTAATCTCAGCGTCATTTCCGCCATATGTGGTTATCTTTAAGTCGAAAGATAGAAGTATTACACAAGACAAAGAGTAGTGAAGGAGAAAAATGATGTAGGAGTTGAGAGTATTAAAAGGGCAATAGTTTGAATTCGCCTCAATTTATTCATTTGGACAGTATTACTAGTTTGTATTATTTTTATGAACACACTCTCAGTAGGGATATTATTTTAGAATCCCCTAAAAGTATGGATGTTATTGTGAATGTCGCCACTTTCATAATAATGACATGTTTCTCTAATTAGCATTGATGCATTAACACTATTCTTATTTAGCAGAACATACGTTTTATTCCCATAGTTACTTCAATTTGTGAGAAATAACTATATTTTGATACTCTAATAAAAGCATTTTACTTTTTCTACAAAAGATATTAAGTTGATTACATAATAAATATATTCCATAATAATTTTATGTATTCTGTGTGAGGATAATATTCAAGTAAGGTAGGCCTAAGAATTGAAATTCTTAGGCCTCTTTCATTTGAGGTGCTTCTGAGATGAATTTTTTGTTGAAATTTGGTGAGCATGTTCTCCATGAAGTGTTGATTATGCCCACCAAATTTCGGGAAAAAATTCAATCGGGAAGTCGGTTTAATAATTTTTTCAAAATTGCGCAGGTTTTAACATATATAAAATACAGTTTTTTTTCAACAATTTATTTAAATGACTTCCCGATTGAATTTTATTGCGAAACTTGGTGGACATCATCTTCAATCCATGGAGAATATACTCACAAAATTTCATCAAAAAATTCGACCCGGAAGCACCTCAAATGAAAGAGGCCTAAGAATTACAATTCTTAGGCCTACCTTACCTTAGCATTGTCCTCTGTGTGAACATAGTTTATGTATCACTAAAGTTATATAGTTAAGATTGGTGAATTAGATGATTGTCACCAGGCTTTGATGTGACTAATGGGGTATTTGGAATTTGGATCTATTTTTGAAAATCGCTTTGCTCCTTTGAGCTGAATCAAATATTGAAGTATTTGACTGAAAATGCAAAAGTACTTGTGGGTGCTTCAAAAAAGAGATCCAGCTGAGCACCTAACTTTCGTTCAGAGTGAGACGGTGGGTCAATCATGAACCTGTCTTTTCAATCATGAATAATTAAAATTCGTCACCAGATTGGTTACACGGACTCTTTCAAAATGAAGTTAATATCACATCATTGATATCATATCAACTTCACGTTAACAACCGCAATAACTTATATCCCGTGGCTTCTGGAAAAGCTAATTCTAAATCTACTTCCACTTTCAAAAATGATGTAGAAACATAATCAATTTCAAACACCCGGCCCCCTAAAAGTAAAAAACAAATTTTGATCAAAAGATTTCCTATCCGCTTTCTAATATAGATTTGTAAATGAAAAAAAATGACGCACATGTAACTATCTTTTTAATTCAATGTAAAATTATATTAGTGATTGTTAAGCAACATGAATTCGACTATGCATTTGAAGATGCAGTCTATTAATCTAAATCATACAGTATATCTGCATTCATCTAAAGAAGCTATCGAATGAAAATTGTGACCTTATACAAGACAGATATGGATGGTATATGAAATTTATTCAATTCAACCGTACGTGGTATATTCTAGTTAGAATTATTATACGAATATCATAATTGCTATTGAAACTTTATTGAGGTTACTACAATCTTTTATTGGACAAACATGTATTCTTCTTTTAAAATGAACCCTTTTATGAAAACAAACAACTAATTTATTCATTAAACAAAGAAACAAGTAAACGAATAGCCTAAGACGACTACAATGGGATGATACATGGAATGAAAAGGATCCATAAATCCATCCAGAATGCTAACCTCCGCAATAATGTAGTCTAGTCTAACAACCTTAGTGTTGTTCTTACTACTCCAAAGAAAAACTAAAAAAACTAAAAATAAAAGATCCGACTTCAACAGTCACCAGAAAGAGAGAATTGGTTTGACCATCAACCAACAAAGGAAATTCAACCAAGTGGAAATTGACTGAATCATTGATTTAACCAGCCACCAAAAAAGAGATCCAGTTGAGCTCTAACTTGCTCTCAGAGTGAGCCACTGGTTCAAGAGGAAAGCGAGTAGTTGAAGCTTCAAAATAACTAGGTTGAATATGTCTTTTCAACCATGAATAATGAAAATTCGCTACCGGATTGGTTACGCCGACTCTTTCAAAATGAACATAATATCACACCATAGATATCTTATCAACTTCAGGTTAATAAATGCAATAACTGATATCTCGTGGATTTGGTCAAACGACCATGTTACACACTTACACGTATTAAACAAAAGTATAAAAATAAAGAAAGATCTTATAAAATGCAGGTGTGCAGGTCCGGTCCTGACATTTTATGGGCCCAGGACAATACAAATAGGCTGGGTCTCAGGGATAGCGCGAGAATGTCTATAATGTTCTTTTTACTATAAAAATCTACTAGTATAATTTAAAATTATACAATATTGTCGTCAAAATACTAGTATAACACATCAAAAAAACCAACAAAGCATATGGTTAGAAAATATATAAAGAGGGTATTGATAAGTGACATTCGATGATACAATGTCACCTAACAGCCGAGTGAAACAAGTATTGCAACTATTTATTAGCCACAATAAAAATTTTGAATTAAAGAAAGTTGTGAAAGTTATATCTTGTATAAGAAGTAACTTTTTCATGTGTTAAATCACATTTTCACTAGACAAAAACAAATTCTAAGTTTCTAAATTATGGGCACTAAAGTTCAATCTTTCACTAAAGAGAGAATTGGAGCAGATTTATGAAATCCATCAATGAATTCTGGATATACATATGACATGTACACTAAGTCACTAAAATATTAAATTTAATATAATAATCCATAATGATTCAAAAGAAATGGTGAAATATGTTCCCAACGAATTCTAATGTGGATGTTTCTATATTATAGATTTGTATCGTGTAGATGGTAAATAACAATTTAGAAGAATCTAAAAATATAAGTTTGACTTTATTTTTTATTTTTTATAGATTTAGGATGTATATAATTAAAATATTTATGTACACACATATATGTTTGAGAAATTTATGGGCCCTACTGGAGCAAAGGGCCCTGGGCGCATGCCCCTTCTGCCCATGTCCCAGGACTGGCCCTGCATGTGTGTGATAGGATATTGTTTCATAGTATATCACGATTATTAACCTATATAAGCAAAAAAAAAAATCAAATGCAATCTACAAGAAACATATGCATTTTATAACACTTATAAATACTTTTGTACCATCTTGATCTTGGCATTTTTTCATGTATAAGTTAATTGTTATTTTTAACATTAGTTATTAACTATTGGTCAAGATTCACTATCTATTAAGAATTGCAATTGTCAACTAGTTTTCATTGACAATTTATGTATTTTTATACTCTCCCTGTCCCTTACAACTTTGTCAACTTTACTTTTTTGGTTGTCACATTAACTTTGTTACTTTCCTTTTAAGTAGAGAATTTGTGCTTCTAGTTAATTCTATCGCCTTTGCATAAACTTCAACAACACATTTTTAATTTTATCAATATCCATGCCGGTCAAACTTATCAAAGTTTTAAGGAATAGAGGGAGTATTTATTCTATGTGAAAAGAATTAATAAAACCCAAGGCATGAATTAGATACTCCACTATGGAGGATGGGACCGCCAGAGAAACCAGTTCTATGCAATGCATGTGGATCGAGATGGAGATTAAAGGGAAACCTCAATGGTTATGTTCCTAAACATGCAATGAGAGATACTCCAAGTGATCGTCACACACTATCTTTTGAGATGAAGTATCAACACAGGATAATCAACTCTCACCAAAATGTGAAACCAGAAGGAAGTGATATGTCATCCACTTCTCCTAAGGAGGATCAATTTGGCACTTCAAGCTCTGAATCTTCAATACCAACCCCGGACAAATGCATCCAAGGAGCAGAAGGTAAGTTTATATTAATAGAGAGTTATATAATTTTTAAGAAGTATATAACTTTACCGAATAGTTGTCAAATACACATATCACACCACATGCATATGCATAAAATTAGACCTTTTATAATAAAAATCACCAATGGAAAGACAAAATGGAAAACATTTTTTAAATATTAATAAGAATTTCTATAAAAGACTTATGCGCATTTATTGAATTTCAAAATTGTATTTTTCCAAAAACTATTCAAGAAGGTGTTCTAATTAGAGGCAACCTATATGTATCTATAAGTCTATAATGAAAAATTTTCCTTAACTAGGACAAAAATATAGATTAAGTGCATAAATATGACCACCATTATTTTCTTCCTAAAATAGAACTCATTTACGTCTAATTGAGAGAGTTTTTATACTTTTAAATTTTTAATAGAATCAAAGAAGTCATATTTTTGGAATAAAAGATAAGTACTCCTACGGGTGCGCTTTGTCTATGCATGTTTTAGCTCTATTTGGACCAACTTCTTAACTATATTTGAAAGGAAAATTAAATACGCCTTAATAACACTAACAAAGTAGAAACTATAAGTAGGTCATTTGCATTACCATGTGATTAACAACAAAAGTTTAAATATATAATCTTATTCCTAGTTAAATGGCTAATATGTTTACAATTATTTGAAGATTAATTTGTTCCCCATTGTTATACTCTATACACAATCTGTCATTTAGAGGAAGTAGAAAAATTAACATTTTACTTGTTTAGTTTTTATTAATGATTTATTACTTTACATATATGATCATGCTTGCAGTTATTCTAATGGGTGAAGCAAATCAAAGTAAATCAACTTGGAATGCTAACAATGTCACTAGAAAGAAAAGGTCAACTCTTGAGGAACAAAGTTATTCATCCATTGATACTTTCTATTTGCAACTTCATCACATTCAAAATGATATTGTTGATGAAAATGACACAACATATCAAGAAGGGGAAGACACTCTCATCTATCAAAAGTGGCAATGTATTCCGGACAATGAGATTGGTTTCGGAGCTACTACCCTTAGTCCGCCAAGTATTCCTTAAAAACACTGTTGCCCTCTTAAATATGCCAAAATATAAATCATTCCCAAAAGACATTATGCACCTATTACAAAATATCACCAACATAAAACACTCTTTGAGACATTAAACATGCTACTTTTATGATTTTAGTTTCTATTGCGTACAATAGTGAAGAATGATTTGGGACGTTAAAGTGGTTGGTCATTCCTAGGATCCGGAACTAGTAAAGTTCAACATATTTATAACTCAGAGAGATACCTTTTCCATTTGGGAAACAAATTATAGTGTTGAAATGAAATGGTCGTAGCAAAAGCTAATTTCAACTTTATGGGCATATCCACCCTTTTAGGTATCCACTAATACATTAATGCTTCTACTATTATTTACAATACAAAAAAAATATTGAGTCACGTATACAAAATATTGCATTAAATATAAAGTAAAAACATTGCTCTTTTTATTATGTCAGCATGACCTAATCAACCTAGGCTTCACCTTGCCCTGCTTAATTAGACACTAGATCAATTAAGAAAATTGACAAATCCCCGCAGAAAGCATAAATGATTAAATGATACTATCAATGATTTTTGAGAAAAGAAATATTAACCTTATCTTGTGTTAAACATATCACACCCTACCGTCATTCTTTATATTGTAGCTATTAATGACTACAAACGAGTTGCTATATTCCCTTAGCTTCATCCCAAAATGAATTTTTTATTTTGTTTGGATTCAAAGTTGGTTAATGTTGCCCGTAATTTTTCAAAAAATCTATTAAATTATAAAATGATAAACACCTTTGAGCAAATAATTCTATATATTATCCTAGTATATTTTGAAAGTTAGATGATTTGAAACTTCTAGGAATCCAAAAAAGTAAGGTCTCTCTTTCAAATGTGCTTCTAGCATGAAATAAGTTTTTCCGTGTAGTAAATTCATAAGTTGGCTTATAAATATGTATAGTAAGTTTTAAATTAATGACATAAATATTACCTAGACTTTTCACTAATATAAGTTTGTACATACAATCGTATGACAAAATGAATAATATTTTAGAATTACCATAATATGTTTTAGTACGCACGTTTTAATATAGATTTATGCACATTTGTTACATCTAGGGAAAAGGTCAAATACATTTGTCTACTATTTCTAATCCATTATTTACGTCAATATATTTAAAAAAGTATCATATATGTATGTTTACTTTAAAAAATCTGTCAATCTGGCCTTTTAACAAGTTTTGATATGTAATAACATGTTTTTTATATTAACTTTTAAAGAATGTGTTAAAATTCAAACAAATTTAAATAAAAAATGCGGACAATTTAGAATTTTTAAAGTTATTATATTTTAATTTTATATTTTACACTTTCACTTTATTTTTTCTGTTTTTTTTTATTTAAACGTGTTAAAGCTCTGTATCTATTTTTAAATTTATACTAATATTACTATTATATTATTTTTCAAAAAGGTTTATCAATTGTTTAATTGTCATTTAATTTAAAATAACATAATATATTATATTATAATGGCTTGATTAACTATGTTTTTAAAGTAAACATATTTATTTAATGTGGACTAATTTTTGGGTTTAATGCACTAAACCCCCTTTTAAAATACAAATTCAGTGTGTGTTAGCCCATGTGATTGAAACAATGTGTCAAATTCTATTTGTTATATTTATTTATGCGCAAAACTCCCTCTATGAACAAACTTAACAAATAAATGAAAATGATTACTGATTTTGTATAATTTAGAAATCTTAACAAAGATACTTGCGTATTCGATCATATTATTAAGAGACAAGTGATTCCAAAATTATATAATTTGTTCTTGAAGAGGATTTTGTGTATGAATAATTATAACATAAGGGTGTTAACGCATTTTATAAATCACAAGGGGTCGATGTACCAAATTTATATATCATGAAGGGGTTTGGTACATTGAACCCCTACTTTTTCTAATATATGGCATTATGTGATGATTTAGAAATAGTAGAAGAGTCTATTATGCTCATTTGGAACTTTTACATAAATACACATCTCTCTTAGATTCTACACTCATTTCCGTCAAAGTAAAACTTAAGATGTTTTTACTTGGACTGTTTTCAGTCTCAGACCAGACTAAATAGACCAGATCAGACTCAAACAGACCGAATCGGACTTTAACAATCAAATCTGACTAGATCAAACTAGACTTGGACAATTATAAAATACATAGATACTAGATATCTACCAGACAAGAGAAGTTCAGACCAGATTAGATTAGATCAAACCTGATCACAAAATTGCAGTCCAAGAAAAAACATCCTTACTAGTTACTACTACAAGTCACACATACACTATATTCACTACACTTAAATTAATAAAATAGTTATGATTACTTATATGTGAGTAGTTTTGGCCAATGTTTTAAAAGACGCTAAATGCTAGTCGAGCATTAGCCCATCATCTAGGTGGACCCTAGTCAGCGGCATATAATTTATATTTCATCAATATTTTGAATAAATATGATGAACAATGTTGTGTTTATGTGTGTCTAACACGGACACATGCTAACATGCATGAACGATATAATCATCACATTTAATACTCCGCAATATATTATAACAGTAATAACTAATCACTTAACTGCATTATGTAATAAATATTAAATAATAATTAAAATTCATAATATATACAATTTTCACCTTAATCTAGGAGTAACTTTGTATCTGTGGTTAAAGTTAAAGGCATATACATCTCTCAGAAAAATAAAAAATAAAAGACAACAAAAATGTACCAACAAACCTAGACACTATAGGCGGCCGATTAGGCGCCCTATATGGCCGACTAGTTTATCGATGTGTCAAATCAATTACTCGGGATGACTAGAACAAAATCGGGAGCCTGATCTCTATCTAGCATCTAAGCGGGACTATTCGGACAATGGTTTAGCAATAAAGAGTACAATTTATTATTTCATTCAAGAGAAAGGAAAATCTCACACATGTCAACTATAACCTCCAACGTGCTTCTGGCAATCCTACCCAAATTAGTGATCCAAGTCCACAACAACCATAGTTATAATCCGAAGGGTCATTGTTGGTGTACACGAAATGTACACAAAATATGTACATTGCCTGTGTACACAAACAATAATAAGGGGTTTAATATCAAATTTTGCCCCTTTTTAAATGAATTGCATGTGTACACATGCAACTAGGAGGTTTTGTGTATACTTTGTGTACAACTCACGTACATCAAGAATTTTCCTAATTGGAAACCATATCTACATTAGTTAGAGTAGTGCCACAATGGTTATGCTGCACAAAATTTAATATGTTGTACCACCCTAATCTCATTTGATTTCATCAACTTTTCTTATTCGATGTCTTATTTCAACATTTTTTATCTCTTCTTTACATAGAGACGTCAAAAATGTAATTAATTGAGTCCATATACTTTTTTTTATCTTTTATTCTACTTATTTCATCTACTTTTACCAAAAAGTCAATTGAGTCCATATACTTTTTATCGAATCAATCAAGTCTACGAACTATCAAAAAATAATCAAATTGGCATTTTCATAGGTAATCAACCGGTTTTCCTGTTGACCGCCTACAAGGACTATCCAGTGGCTTTTTTGTTTTACTTTTTCTATTTTTTTCTTTTTCAGCCACTTTCTTCTTTTCTTCTTTCCCCTGTTCCTTTCTCGTCCGAAGCTTCCATCTTCCAACCGGCCACTAATTCCTCCTTCTCTCATCTCCTTTATTTTCTTTATTTCTTCTTCCGTTCACCTGCTTCGAGTAAACTTCTAACCCCCTCATTCTTTCTTCTTCAATTCCACCCATCCGCTCACCACAAATTTACCCACTTCTTGTTTAGTCTTCCAAGAAATTTGAAATTGGGGCTTTTGATGCCAAACACGGTTAATTGCAGGGGCTTGAATGTCTACAGACGAAGCCCAAGCCGGGATCGGAAGGGAGGCGACGAATCGTAGCGGCTTGGACTCCGCTTAAACGTCGCCGGCAAAGAGGAAGCTGGGCGCTCGAACCATTTCCAGCGTGGGGTAAGCTCAGATCCAAAAACCCATACCCAAACAAAGAAGAAAGAAAGATGAAAAAAGAATTGAGGTGATTATAATATTAGCGGGATTCGATCCCTGGACTTCAAATATAGCCTGCAGCACTCCATCCATCTCGGCTAATTGTCTCTTTGAAAATATCCGTCCTTTTTTCTTACTTAGCCTATATGTTTTCATACTCCCTACTACAATTGTTTATTAATAGTAATTATAATATTAACTATTCTTTGTTTTTGCTCATTATTACTATATTAAAACTAATTCAAACTAAGTATTTATTTAATCTATGAATCGTACTATTAATTAATTTATATAAATGTATTTATAATTTTATTATATATTGTTAGGTTTCTAATAAACCCGATGCTCATCAAAAGTGTTTTAATCCTCATAATAGGTCTAATGCACATTATGCTCATTAATGCTCATTATATATTGTTAGGATTCTAATAAGCCCGTTCTTCGTTTTTGTTATTTTGTACGAAGTACATAGCTCTCATATTTTGAGAAGTGGTGAGACACTAAATAGCTATCATTATCTCTAGCTATAGTTAGTTTTTCATGTGCTCTTTGCACAACTCCAACTCCCATTGTACATTTTATTGAAAACAACAAAAGGCTCAGAATTAAAGAAAAGTACTAGTATAAAACAATTGAAAGATGGTTCAGAAAAATGAGCACTACTGAACTTTTAGTGAGCAACAGACCTATTATGTTGAGTATTAGGAGTCTAATATTTAGAATTATGATCTCTGCTTCATATTTTCTAATTCACTTTCTTTGTTGTTATTAAATCGTAAGTTGTTAGTTGAACATCATCACATTTTCATTGAACATCAAACCTCCACTATCGAGATAAAATCACCGTTTCGTGTAAATGAGCACTAATGAACCTTTAATGAGCAGCAGACCTATTATATTGAGTATTAGGAGTCCAATATTTAGAATCGTGATCTCTACTTCATAATTTCTAATTCACTTTCTTTGTTGTTATTTTGTCTTTTATAAAAACTTACTACATTATATTTATGACATTGATATGACATTTACAAAATGAGCATAAGATCAGTACCAGATGAGCATACATAACTTACAAAATGAGTATTAGTGAATTTGTTAGTTGCTTTGTTAGTTGAACATCATGACATTTTAATTGAGCATCAAACCTTGGTTATTGAGATGAAAGTCACCGTTTCTTCTGAATGAGCAATAATGAACGTTTAATGAGCATCAGACCTATTATGTTGAGTATTAGAAGTCTCATATTCAGTATCGTGATCTCTGCCGCATACCTTCTAAGTCACTTTCTTTTTATTACTTTTTCTTTTTATAAAAACTTAATAAATTATATTTATAATCAAATCTTATGAAATTCAATATGTAATTCAATATGTGAATCTAATGTAAAATAGTCCTTTAAAAAATGCATTGATATGATTATTAAAACACTTTTAATGAGCATCGAACTTATTCAATTGAGTATTAAGATCTTAACAATGTGAATCCAATGTCATATGCAACTTTTAAAATTTGCATTAAAATTTGCATGAATATGACATTTTAAAAATGAGCATAATATGAGTACAAATTGAACAAACGTAACTTACAAAATGAGTATAAACCGTAAATTTTTTAGTTGAACTTCAATACATTTTTATTGAGCATTAAAACTCCTCTATTGAGTATTGAACAAATGCAATTGAGTCTCATGGTCAGTGCTCATATATCTATAATCAACTCTTGCATATATGAATCAAAAATATAAAACTAAAACATTTAATAATATTTTATATTATACATTTTCATAATAATTGAGTATAACATTAAAGTGGAAGGTTACTAAAAATCGCGGCTCCTGCTAAATGAGCAATAGTGTAATTTTAGTGAGCATCTCGCCTATTTTTATTGAATATTAGGAGGCTAACCATGAGTTTCACGATATTTGCTTCATATATTCTATGAAGCAAATAATGTACTCTTAATGAGCATGATACCTATTGTGTTGAGCATTAGTTACATAAGTATTGATATAACATTTTAAAATGGGCATAACACTAGTCCTGAATGAGTATACATATATTATAAAATGAGCATTGAAATATTCAAAAGCTCATTTAAATTTTCTAGTATGCTCATTTAAATATATTTAATGAGTATCAGACCTATACAAATGAGCATATATAACTTACAAGATGAGCATTGATATGAAAATTGTAAGTTTTGTTCGTTGAGCATCCATACATTTTCAGTGAGCATCAAATCTCCATTATTGGGTATTACAATTTGCGATTGAGTATCATGATTTGTGATCTCGTGTCTATAATCAACTCCTATATAAATTTAATGTTATAGGGACTTTTGAAATATGCATTGCTAAAAGCATTTTAAAAATCAGCATAACGGAGTTACTAAATGAACATACATAATTTACAAAATGAGTATCCAAAAATTCAAAAACTCATTTGTTTATGTTCATTTTTAGGTGTTTTACTCATTTGAGTTTAAGGTATAACTCATTTCTAATGTGAAATGCAATCAAGCCTATTGCAATTAAGCCAACAGACAAAGAAACGAAAAAAACAAAAAAGGAAAAAGACAAAACAAAAGAAAATCAAAGCACTAATAAATCCACTAGCTATAAAAGTAACGAACAAAATAAAAGAAGACAAAACATAAAAAGTACTCCGTAAAACGATTTAGCAGGAAACGAAAGTGGATGATATGGCGGCGGAAGAAAAGTACGGAGTAAAGAATAGCGACTAGATTGAGGATGAAGGCGGACGAAGATATAACAACTGGGATGATTAGGCGAGAAAGACGACTTAATTGCAAAAATACCCGGTTGTATGGTGAGAACCATACAACCGGGTGTATGGTATAATTTACCGAAACAGAGAAGGAAGAAGGAAAGAGAAAAGGGGAAGAAAGAAAGAGAGAAAAAAGGAAAAAGAAAAGAAACGTACAAAAAATTGGTGTGAACAGTAAAAATGTCTAGTTGGACAATCCACGCAAGCAATTGAACTTGAAACCGGTTGAATACCTATGAAAAGTGCAATTTGGTTGTTTTTAGCAGTTCACAAACTTAATTCATTCATTTAGAATTATGTGGACTCAATTGACTTTTTGGTAATAGTATGTGGACTTATTTGACAGTTTTCCCTATTTTGTTATTCTGCTTTGTTGATCTTTTTTTTTATAACAAAATTGAAGCAGTAATATATGCACATTCGAGAGCTTGATGATCAAATATGACAATGTTGATCAAATATGAAATTTATAAAAAAATAAATTTATGAATTAAACAAAAATACATAATGCCATAATATAAAAAGGAATAACATTTAAAATACAAAAAGTGACTACTTTTTTTAATATGACCAACTTTTAGTTTAATTAATTAGTTTTTTCATTGTAATTTATATCAAATCTCAGCCCCAAACCTCCTCCCCCCGCCCGCACGGCCGCACCTACTCAGCCACAGCCGGATCTGCTGTCGTAACCGCCGCCGGAAATTTTGATAATTTTTTCTTGGATTTTTTTGTTTTTATTTTTCTTTCAAAAATCACCGAATAAGTCATCAGTTTTTTTACGGTCTTGACATCCGCACGTAACATGAAAATCCAGCAGCTACAAGAAAATTTACGGCATTGTTAGTCGCATTTTTGTCCATATATAGAAGTAGTCATGTATTTGGAAATTGACTTGAATTTAATGGGTTTTTGGATCTGTTTTTTTAAATTTGTGATTTGTGATTTTTTTAGAAGTTAAGGAAACCAGTTTTGAAAAGATTGATTTTAATTCAGCTTGCTCTTTTTAAAAAGAAGCTTAGTTCCAAACATATGAAAGGTGGAAAATTGTCCATATTTTTCATTTTTCAGTTGCGATTCAGAAGATCTATGTAACGCCTCACCCTTCATCGCCAACCACCACCCTGAAAAACAGCCGGTCTACTCGCCGGAAATTTTGGCCATCTTGCGGACAACTATGGCACGCACCTCAATGCACTGCTTACTAATCACACTTCTTCCCGCGCTGGTAACACTTTTTTCATTCGTTGGATTAGCTGAAGCTTCCATACACAACTACAATCGGGATCCGTTTAGAGAGGTCGGCAATGCCTACCTCGCATCCGGAGGAAGCGAAGGCCTCGCCGCCACCTTCTCCGTCCCTAAGCCACGTCATGCATTTCGCTCCGAAGTCCACGACGGACTCTCCTACATCAGGTGAACATAGCATTCATTCATCGAAGCTCAAAACCTATCTTGTATGTGTATTTGTAAGTCACATCGACTTGAATTGGCTGATGGACGCTTAGATCTAGTTTGACATTTGTGAGCTAAGTTTTTTAAGGCGCCAGTATATTGCACTCAAGCTTTGATGTGTGAATCGAAGTTATTTTAATTGAAATTTTGGTAGCTAAACAACATATTTTAAACCGGATAGGGAGTATATCCTTTTACTTGATGACCACATTTTTAGGTTCTAAGTTTATCTTGAGAGTGTGTTAATTGCTGCAGATTAATTGGTAAAATACTACGCACTTACAATTTTTCTTAATAAGCTTTTTCAGCTTTTTGAAGTAATTAATTACAATCTCATTTGTATTGCTTTTAAATGTATACATTATGTATGTCACTCTCGAAACCAAACTAGACCTTTATTCAAAATCATATCACAAATTCGATCACTTGAAACCATGTAATCTATAAACTCAGATATGCACCTAAATGATTTTGTCTCAAAGCAACAAACAGGCGAGCAGTTAAAGACACTCAATTTTCCATTGTAATACAAATACGAACACAACAAACATGCCTAGGACTTCAATTTCATTTTTCCATATCAAGTTATCAACACATACTTCCATAAAAAGGAAAAATAGATTTGCAGGACACTAAAGTACCTTGAAATTGAGTTGTAATAACTGTGTGTGTTGAGCTAGTTATGAATGAAAAATCATCAATGTCAGCTATTGCGGACTAGTAATGTTGATTGAGCATTTGATGAGAAATCTCTACACAATCACAGCTAATGAATCAGCACTTTCCCCATTCCAATTTCTCCGTATCTCCACGAGCTGCTAACTGTGAAGGTGTGTGAAGTGAAATTAGGGGTTGACACTATTTAAAATGGGTTTCCTAAGTGGACTTGTATCATAAGGCTATGGGGGCATATACTTTTTAAGTTTTTATGATGCCATGCCTGGAAATTTAATTCCTCTAATGGGCTAACTGAAGGTTACTGGGAGCAGCTGCCCCATTTCACCTACTGGATCCGCCCATGACTAACTTTGAATGGAAGGTTGATTTTTAACTACAATACCAGCTAAACTTATCATTATGCAGAAATTTAATATATATGCTAGTAGAGATTCATAGATCTCAAGTCATGAGTTTCAAATAGAAATGTAGGTTTATTCTATTCCAAAAGCGGAAGTTTTATTTATTTACTAGCCCTTTAGTTAGCACTATTCCATTGTGTCCTCTTACTCAGTCATTGGCATATAGCTATAGACTGTATTTTATTGATAGTATTAGTAGTTTATCCTGAAAGTTTTATTTTGGTGGAAAACGGGACGGATCAACATTATGGCTATCGGGGTTGAAGCCCAACACCAATTAATGTTTTCTTAATTTTTTGGTGTTTTTTTCATTTTTACCATTTAGCCCTCCCTGCTATTGTTTTAAGCCTACTATAATCATTCTCCAACCTTGTCCAACTCTAATTCTTGGACTCGCCTCTTGTGGAAAACAAGTTAGACTTTACAGAAACAATATATTTCTATGAGTGGGCTAGTAACTGTCATTGCTATTGGTGGGTAACTGGGTATAAATGAAAGCATGCAGCATACTGTCACTCGACTTTCCACTGTAGTTTCCTGATAATAATAATAATAATAATAATAATAATAATAATAATTGTATATTTATATATAGATTTGAAAATCTCACATTTTGGAGGAGTAAAGAAATCGCGGAACAAGATGTGGCATACAATAGTGGTTTGATACAGATAATCATTTTTGAGGCAGCAGACCGTGATAATATTGGTGGTTCACCTTATGGTGGGCAAAGGTCAATTTGTTGTACCCCTGATCTTGCTAAGATGGAAGGCTGCAAACAAGGAGAAGTGATTAGGACACCTTCGGCAACCGATATTAACTGGCCGGTGGTGTTGAATGTAAAGTTTAAAGGAAAACAGTTATCTGCCCGCATGAAAAACAGGGAGGTTTATATAAAAAAGACTGGGATGTACAACTTATTCTTCATCTCATGTGATCCATATCTCAAAGGAATGAAAGTAACTGGAAAAACAGTGTGGAAAAACCCAGATGGCTTCTTACCTGGTAGAATGTCACCCCTCATGAAATTCTATTCCATTATGTCTCTAGCATATGTTATCTTAAGTTCCATCTGGTTTCTGCAATATGTGAGATACTGGAAGGATGTTTTGCCACTTCAACACTGCATTGCTACTGTTATTGCTCTCGGACTATTTGAGATGTTATTTTGGTATCTTGACTATGCTTACTTCAATAACACTGGATCAAGGCCCGTAGGCCTCACATCTTGGGTTGTGACAATTGGAGCAATAAGAAGAACTGTTTCACGCATCCTTATTCTTTCCATCTCGATGGGTTATGGTGTTGTACGGCCCACACTTGGTGGTCTTACAATTAAGGTGCTGCTTATTGGCATCACTTATTTGTTGGCATCTGAGCTACTAAATATTACCGAGTATGTGGGGACTATAAATGATGTAGCGGGAAGAGCTATGGTCTTTTTGGTCCTTCCTAATGCACTTCTGGATGCTTTTTTGATTTTGTGGGTTTTTACATCTCTTTCTAGGACACTTGAGCAGCTGCAGGTATAGAATCCCTTATTAGCCCTCCCCCCCCACCCCACTGCTATCATTGATATTGTCAAGCTTACTGACGAGACATGAATTTACCTTTCAGGCAAAGAGAAGTTCTGTGAAGTTGGACTTATATAGGCAATTCTCAAATGCATTAGCTGTTACTGTTATTGCTTCAGTTGCTTGGATAGGGTATGAGGTATGTACTTTCTCAAGGCAACTTTGACCTTGTGCTGAACTTTTACTGATTAATGTTAGTAAACCCTATTGCTATGCTTGCTCTTTCCGCGTCCAAGAAAATTAAAAAAGAGTAGAGTGTTCTCTTATTTTGTACTACATATGTGTTTAGAATTTCTACCAGGAAAGTGTTTTCATGAAAAGATTAAATTTTATACATTTTTTTATCAGTTCTATACATTAGCAAACATAACAACTTACATTCCTAGAAAAAAAAATCCTCTGAAAATAAATGGACACAAGTTATTTCCTTTCTTCTGGGAAACAAACAGAGCCTGAATTCCATATGAATGTTTTTCTGTGCTCTTGCTTGTGCCTAACTAAGTTCATTTCAATGGCATGGCACCTAGTGATCTTATGCCCTTGTGCTTTTGATACTTCAGAAGGAAGTTTTACTGCATTGGGTCTTATATGCCGTGTATCTCTGGCACCAATTTGAAAACTTCATCAAAAATGTTGGAAACTTTATTTGCCATTGAAGTCCTTTAATTTTTAAATATCGTATCTGTGTCAGTTCCAATACTTGATCTCTTATCTCCCTCTTTTTTCTTTGTTACATCAACTTTACACCTAATATTTAGGCATGGTTTGAAAATTAAGATTGAGTCTGCTAAGTCTGAACTTTTAAAAAGTACAACTAAGAAGTATTGATTATTGAGTTTTATTCAATCAAGGTTTACTTCAAAGCAACAGATCCCTTCAACGAGAGGTGGCAGAGTGCCTGGATCATCACTGCATTCTGGGACATTCTTGCATTTGCACTACTGTGTGTCATCTGCTTCCTTTGGGCACCTTCACAGAGCTCCCAAAGGTAAGGTTTTCTATGGTAGTGCAGACGCTTTTTGGCTAACTAGTTATATTTGGACACGGGAGACGTGTAGAGAACGAGGAAAATTGTTTTTAACTAACTAAGCGGGAAAGTTTAGTTATTTTTTAATTCTCACATATTTATATAATTATATTTCTAATTCATTGAGTTTGAACAAAATGTTTAAATTGAGTTTATGGCTTTATATGTTTGTGATCCCTTCGAATATAGTGCTTTACTGTTTTTCATCCTTGTATTTATTCTACCTTGTTTTAATTCCAATATTAGTCTCTCAGAAGTTATGAAACAATGAAGTTTAAAGATTAGAAAGTTATGCAACCAACATTTTCTATCTAAATGGAGATGTATTAAGATTTAACCAATTATACATGCTTAGTTTTAGACTTTTAGTGTTGTAGACATCGCTCATAATTTTCTTGTCTCTTTTGGTTCAATGATGATGCACACTTTGCATGATCTAAGGTATGCATACTCAGATGGGAAAGGAGAAAACAGTGATGACGAAGAAACAGAATCCTTGTGTAAAGAGAGTCCTATAGGAGGCGATATCAGTTTAACCAAAATGGGGAGGAAGGAAGGGACGGAAACTTGTGACCTGGAAGGTGAAGCAGAAGATGATGATGATGGTGATGATAGTGGTGGAAAGAGGGAATGAGTACAAAGTTGCCAGTTGCCACATTGTACATTGTCAAAAAAAAGGTGTTGTCCCACAGATCATTAAATTTTGGAGAAATGAGGAGATCTGGAACAGATATGTACTGTATTTATCTGGCCATATGTAAAAGGATCTTCATTTACTAAATGAAATTTATTGGACTTGTTTAACGTTACACGCACATGGACCGCAAATTCGAATTTAGGAATTTATCAAGATATTAACCTTTAGTTATTTCTAGGAAAAAATTTGAGTCTAATGAGTAGGGACGACAATATTGTGGGTAGGGGTGGAGCGGCCCTGGTTCCGGCTAGTTCTGGTTCCAGTCATGTTGAGGTTTTGTCATGACTCCCGAGCTTATTTTTTCTTAAACTCCCACACTTCTGCTCACAACATTTCAGATTTTAAATGTACTCCACCTCCTCTAAGTTCCTTGTCATTGGATTAATGGGAAAAAATCAATTGAGACTGAATTGACTTGTTTCGATCCCTAATGTGGGCCATCCAAATCTGGGACCCACAACTCTTACCTTGGTTATGGTTTTGACTTGGAAACGTTTGAACCGGATTCCACTAAAATATCGGCCGTTTCTGGACCGGTCCCAGGAATGGAACCATGTTGATCACTAAGGATGTCTTCTTTTGGACTGTTTTCAGTCCCAGACCAGATCAGACCAGATCAGACCAGACCAGACTTCCGTAGTTATAAAATACACAGAGACCAGACGTTTACCAGACCAGACCAGATCAGACCAGACCAGATCGAACCAGACCAGACCAGACCAGACCAGTAAATTTCAGTCCAAAAGAAAACATCCTAATTGTGGTGGTTAACTGGTTATGAGAATATTTCCATTTACCACCTATATACTTGGGCTCAACTGCTCAATGAAGCGGACAAGGATAGAGCCAGGGAGGGGCTGGAGGGGCCACGGCCCATGCAATAAAAAAAATTCTTAAGTATATATTATGTATAAATACTTTTAATCTATACAAAACATGTTGATATTTTAAACTTTGACCCCAACAATGTAAAATTTTTAAGAACCGGCCCCCTTAGCCATATATTTCTAGTTCCGCCACCGGATAGAGCTTATCCCCACACAAAATCTTACAAGAGAAACCTAGCGCAAGTGCGCAACGGGTTGAGGAAGCCCGACAAAGACGAATGTCTGAAACCCTCGCCTCAACAAGAGGAAGTCCGACAAGGCCTCAAGTAATCGGATCTGAAGGCTCTGCCTTGCTTTAGAGCAAGTTATAATGCCTTGCTTCTTCATAATATAATCGTCCGATCGAAAATTCAAGAACGAGAGGTCTTGGGGTCCACTCTTTCGCCGATCTGGAGGCTATCCTTGCCGTTGTCCTGCCGTCAGTGGCGGATTTATGTTTCATGTTTTGGGTGTTCATTTTTTTGTAGAATTAAAATTTGAAAGGACAAAAAATAATTAAATTAAATTTATACATATATGCTAGTATGTTTTTCAAAATATTAGGTGTTCAATTGAACACTTTTGCATCATAGTGGCTCCGCCACTGCCTGCCGTCGGATGCGCAAGGGACTCTACCGCACACAGAGGATCCTGATCCCAGCTAATCATAATGCTTAATCAAATTTGGTGTTCTGGTGAGAGATATAGGGATTGACGATTGACGTCACTTCATCATGTATTGGCCACATCATGCATTACGTATACATCATGCTTATGGCATGGTGACATATAAATACAGATAGCAAGCAACAAATGTATGCTTTTTATTGGCTCATAAATAGGCATATAGCTTGTTCTCAACTCTCAAGGATCACGTACTTCAATTTTTTTTTGTTTGACAAAGCATTATGTACTTCTATAAATATACTCCTTTCACGATTGTGAACAAAGATTATGCATTTGTATGGTCCCGGTTAGCAAAATGATGAGACCTTCTCTTTCTAGAATCTACTCCGTACTTTACTTTTGACTTGGGTTAGCAATAAGCCAATTCAACAACCCATTAGGTGGTTTTGAATCTGAATCAAGGGTGGGTCGAGAAAGTAAACCCAATTAAAACAACCGAAAACCGTAATCAAAATAAATGCAAGTGCAAAGAAATGTAACAAAATGCAAAAAATGAACTGAGTTGTAGTTGTTCGGTTTCGCACTTTCGAAACTGAATCGAATAAGCTGTTTTAGTAAAAAAAATCATTTACATTAATTTTCAAGATGGTTTATGTATCATACTCCTCCGTTTCAAACTGAGTTGCAAAAATGATTTTTCCGGTCAAACAAGTTCGTTTTATTCACTTATTTAGGATATCAAGTCTTGATTAAATTTTAATTTGAATTCTATAACTTCATAGAGATTTAATGTAGTTTCTAAAATTTGTCAATTTAATTATTAAAATTGGACTAATTACCCACAGGGTGGATTTTGCAAAACGGTAGTATTACGCATTAGAAGATAATGTTATAAATATAATGTAAAATTTATTTTACCGTTGATTCTGTTATACTGCGTATATTTTATTTTTATTATTATTATTTATAGCAGTAGATTATTTTGATGTCAATCGTTTCAGCATAATTGCTGTCGAACTATGCAATCAGACTCGAGCAATAGTAGTGTATATCGAAGCGGCAGATGGGTATCAACTAATTGGGAATGTAGACCTATGACAAAATGAAGTAGTAGCCCCTGAAGAAACCGAAGGCATACCCACATAAGGATAAGTAGAGTCGGTATTGAGTTAGATATGTATTGTGAATAAAATGATTTTTAATTTCTTGTATTTTTAAATGATTTTTAAGGGAAAATCGCATATTTGGTTTCTTAGTTATCCACGAAAATAAATGTTAGACCTGTATTTCTGAGATTGTAAATGTTACTCATCAATTGTCCAAAATATTGTAAATGTGGTCCTTTTGAGGGTGAAATATACAATGTGGGTGAGAATACATTTCACTACTTAAAGGACCGTTAATTATCACGATTAGGCTAAGATAAACGATAAATTTGAAGCAAGAACACAAGAATTTACGTGGTTCACGCAATCGGTGTGATTACGCTAGTCCACGGCGAACGAGAGAGAGATCTATTATTATTCCAGCGTCTGGTGTGTTTACAGATACATTAGGGATGTTTAAATAGGTTTAAGAAAGCCTAAACAAGGGTTAAGGCCGCAGGCCCAAATTAATCTCGTCATTAATTTTCCCGTATACTCGATCGAGTATACATACATACTCGACCGAGTATAGATTCCAGACTACTACTCGAGTAAGGTTTTTACGCATACTCGATCGAGTATACCTCCATACTCGATCGGGTACAAAACACAGACTTTTACCCGAGTAAGCCATCCATGCATACTCGATCGAGTAATGACCAATACTCGATCGAGTGTAGAAACCAGGGAACTACTCGACCCATCAACACCTCATACCCGATCGGGTAACCCAACATACCCGGTCGGGTATATACTCCTGCATTCCAAACAAGGCTCCATCTTCAACAATCTCCCACTTGGAGGCTTGTTCAACAGTCATCTGCCATCCAAGAACATGTATCCTCTGCAACACTCCTGATCTCTATCTCTCGTTCACACCTTCCCATCAAGTATCTGGAAGGCCAGTTGAAGCCATGCATAGCTTCAACTTCTCCGTTGTCACCACCTTGGTAAGCATGTCTGCTGGATTCTTCGTACCAAGGATCTTCTTCAAGTTTATGATACCGTCTTCAATCAACTCTCGGATAAAATGGTATCGCATCTTGATGTGTTTCGTTCTGCTGTGAAACACTGGATTCTTCGCGAGGTGAATAGCACTCTGGTTGTCACAGTGCAGTCCGCAATCCCCCTGTTCCATGCCCAACTCCGAAAGAAAGTTCTTCAACCAGATCAACTCTTTGGCCGAAAGAGCCACACTCTTTTGAAGTCTAGACATCCAACTGATCGCCGTGCCTCCAATTGTGAATATGTAACCCGTAGTGCTCTTCCCGGAATCACAACAGCCCCCCAAATCAGCATCATCAAATCCTTCTAGAATTACTCCATTCCTCCTGAAACAAAGAGCAGTTCCAGAAGTGCCTTTCAAGTAGCGTAGTAGCCACTTGACTCCTTCCCAATGTTCCTTCCCTGGATTCGACATGAACCTGCTAACAACTCCCACTGCATGAGCAATGTCCGGCCTTGTTGACACCATTGCGTACATCAAGCTGCCAACGGCTGATGCATAAGGGACTTTAGCCATCTCATCTTTGTCTTCATTGGTCTTTGGAGACTGCTGCTTGGAGAGTTTCAGCTGACTCCCTAAAGGTGTACTCCTTGGCTTGGCATCCGTCATTCTGAACTTCTCAAGGACTTTCTGAATGTACTTCTGCTGTGAAAGCTTTAAAGTACCTTCCACCTTGTCTCTGACTATGCTCATCCCAAGAATCTGTCTCGCCTCCCCTAAATCTTTCATCTCAAATTCTTCGGACAACTTCTTCTTGAGCTTGTTGATCTCCTGCATGTTTGATCCAGCCACCAACATATCATCAACATACAAAAGAAGAATAATGTATGATGACTCGAATTTCTTCAAGTAACAGCAATGGTCCATCTTGCATCTAGTGTACCCATTCCGCTGCATAAGACTATCAAACTTCAAGTACCACTGTCTAGGAGCTTGCTTCAGTCCGTATAGACTCTTCTTGAGTTTGCACACCAATCTCTCCTTGCCACTCACTGGGAAACCTACTGGTTGAGCCATGTAAATGTCTTCTTCAAGGTTGCCATGAAGAAAAGCAGTCTTCACATCCAGCTGCTCCAAGTGTAAATTTTCAGCTGCAACGATACTAAGAATCAACCTGATAGTAGTCATCTTCACAACCGGGGAGAAGATTTCATTGTAGTCAACCCCCTTCTTCTGTTGGAACCCCTTGACAACTAGTCTGGCCTTGTATCTTTTGCTCCCATCTGCTTCATCTTTGATTCTGAAAACCCACTTGTTCTCCAATGCTTTCTTTCCCGGTGGTAACTTGACTAAGGACCAAGTTTGGTTCTTGTCAAGTGAATCTAACTCATCTTCCATGGCCTTCTTCCACTGTATGGAATCACTCACAGCCAACGCCTCTGAGTAAGATTCTGGCTCTCCATTCTCGGTCAGCAATAGATAATTTGCTGAAGGAGAATACCTGTTAGGAGGTCTCCTGATTCTGGTGGACTGTCTGATGT